AATTGAGGAGTGGGGATTAATGATTACAGGTGCACAAGGTTTGCGTGCCTGACCACCCGAGAATCTCCCACCTACTACTTTGGGTATCTGGGGGTTGTTCTTGATTTTGGCTGCAGCCCGCAACTCGAAAATTGCCTTGCGCTTCGTCCTTGCACGCACTCTGCTTTAATCACATTCCGAATGGGCTACCCAGCTTACCGGTAGCAGACTTTATTTACACCACGCACGCCAGCTTAACCTTTCTCACACTACTTATCGTCTGTCGCCCTTGTGCTCGCCCTTGTTCGGGAGGGCGTCGGAGCAGGTCCTAAAACTGTTGTCGAAAGGTGGGGGTTTGGAACAATTCTCATCCAAATTTTGGCAACCTTCAGTTCATTCCAAGCTGGTGCTGGGTGCCGAGTCTCACGGGTTAGGAAAACGCAAGGCGGCGAAACTTGTGCCTTGAACAGGCTTCACACTAAGAATGAGGAACTGCAGATCTATGGTTTAATCGGGACTGTTTTCTTGAAGCTTCCAGACGCTTGCCTCGGAGCCCACGAAAGTGCACGCACAGGTGTGCTGATAGTAAGTTGGATGTGCGACAGAACGTGATGCGGTCATCGGCGTGCATGTGCAAGACACAAACTTCTACTGACGGTCTCTGACGGTGCGTGCTGTGCAGGGTGTTGTGTGTCACGTTCTGCTCCATGCAGCTTCTGGTACAAAAACGCTACTCGCTTCATATTCTAGAGAGCATCTCGTACATTCCGTGCAGTGCACCAAACCAAATCTCTGAGCGCAATGCTAAGATTAGAAAAAACAGGCAACACTTCACATGTACACTTGGAGCTTCTGCGGATGTCAGACCCGTTAGCCGTCATCTCGTGTCCCAGCCACACAAAGCACCCACCCAGCATTACGGAGTGCAAGCGTATATGATGGTACTGTTTGCAAACCGGCGCACTGGTCTTATCTTTCGGCATGCCAAGATTCTTCAAAGATGTGCCAGTACATGACATGTCCTTGCTGCAGCAGCTCTTCGAGAGCGACTGAAGAACAGAAGAAAGGGCTTGACACAGAGTGCTCACTGCATCTCTGCGTCTACTAGAGGGTAACGGATTCTAGGGGAGACTTGCTACCAGCCGTGTCGTTTTGACAAGCTGATCCACGGCACGAGATCGCACACTCTGGCTGTAAGTCTGCAGCTGGCTGTTTGGCACTCCAAAACCAGCGACCTGCCTGGTCCCGAAGTGCAAAGTTCTCGCAGCGAAGCTCGTGCACCTGGCATCGAGCACACACGTAAGCACACACGTAAGCCGCACAACGCCAACTGCCGTCCGGCCTGTTCGGATCTGGTGTCCAGGTCTCTTCGCAACCTGGTCCGACACCACGATGGAAAATGTTAGAAAATACGCATAGCTTGAAATGGCTTGCCGCCGTGGCCCCGACTGTGCAGCCAGCTGATTCTGGCCACCACCTCCGAAAACTTGTTGTTGCGTCAAACGCGCAAACCAAGCCCCACCCGCACCCCTCCTCCAACCCTCCCCCCTGCAGACCTTCCATGTCCTTCGCGTGCTTTTCGCCACCCTTCCCTTCCTGCAAAACTTGAAGAAAGTGGCAGCTGGTAGCAAAACGCGTCAACGAGCGGCGGCTTGCCTTTTTGCCCTTGAAGCCTTGGGAACTTCCCGCCTTGGTCGGCTCAGGGTTAGGACCCACGTTATCCACATATATTCACATTGCCCATGCGCCTTGTGGTTGGCATCCAGATTGGAAGCTGCTTGCAACGACAGAATCTTCAAAGACACTGCAACGAGCTGAATACGAAGGACGCGCCTGGTTGTCAGCCCACTGGTTCTTCGGCTTTCCGGCCTGATAGGTCAGCGTTGCTCGGCTTCACGTGTTTCTTCCAGCTACCTAAGCTTTGCGCTGGGGTATGGCCGGGGTGACCGCCGCCTTGAAAGTCTTACTCAATGCGCCCTGCCTTCTTGACATCTTGGGTCGAGGACGGCAGGATCTCCATGGCAAACGGCCTTTTCTGCCCACACGTAGAAACCTGATAAATGATCGTGTGCAAGCTGGAGCCCACTGCAGCAAAAAACTGGACAACGCAGAAATCTCGCGGCCATCTCGGTTTCAATTCGGGTTCGAGGGACTCGGCCAACACCACTGCGAAGATCATTGACATGAAGTTGAGGAAACGAGGATTTCAGGTGCACAGGGTTTGTGTACCTGACAAGTTTTGTCCGTATTGACTCACTCGGGAATCTCACACCTACTACTTTGGGTATCTGCAGGTTGTTCTCGATTACGGCTGCATCCCGTAACTCGAAAATAGCCTTGCGCTTCGCCCCTGCGCTCTTGCGCGCACATGGTTTTAGTCACATTCCCAATGGGCTACCCGGCTTACCGATAGCAGACTTTCTCTAAACCAGGCATGCCAGCTTTACCTCGGGACTTTCTCACACTACTTATCGCCTGTCGCCCTTGTGGCGCCGGGAGGGCGTTGGAGCCGGTACTAAAGACTGCATGAAAATAGTCAATATGCGATGTTGTCGAAAGGCGGGGGTTGGAACAACGCTCATCCAAATTTTGGCAAACTTCAGTTCAGTCCAAGGTGGTGTCTTCGGAGCTGGGTGCCGAGTCTCACGGGGTAGAAAGATGCGCCTTGAACAGGCTTAGGACTAAGTCTGAGGAAATGGAGATGTGCGTGTATGGTTTCATCGGGACTGTCCTCTTGAAGCTTCCAGACTCTTGCATCGGAGCCCACGAAAGTGCACGCACCGGTGTGCTGATAGTAAGTTGGATTTGCGACAGAATGTGATGCGTTCATCGGCGCGCATGTGCAAGACACAAACTTCTACTGACGGTCTCTGACGGTGCGTGCTGTACAGGGTGTTGTGTGTCACGTTCCACTTCATACAGCTTCTGGTTCCAAAACGCTACTCGCTTCTGTTCTAGAGCGCATCTCGTACATTGCGTGCAGTGCGCCAAACCAAATCTACGAGTACAATGCTAAGTTGAGAAAAAGAGGCAAAACTTGACATGTACACGTCGAGCTTCTGCGGATGTCAGGCCCGTCAGCTCTTGCGGGAGGGAGGATGTAAGGAAATGCAACGCATGTTGCAGCTCGAGTGTCCCAGCCACACAACGCACTCACCCAGCATCATCCCAGCCACACAAAGCACTCACCTAGCATCATGGAGTGCAAGCGTGTATGATGGTGCTGTTTGCAAACCGGCGCACTGGTCTTATCTTTCGGCATGCCAGGATTCTTCAAAGATGTGCCAGTACATCACATGTCATTGCTGCAGCAGCTCTTCGAGAGCGACTGAAGAACAGAAGAAAGGGCTTGACGCAGAGTGCTCACTGCATCTCTGCGTCTACTAGAGAGTAACGGATTCTTGGGGAGACTTGCTACCAGCCGTGTCGTTTTGACAAGCTGACAGCACAAGAGCGCTCGGTGAAAGGCCTCAGATGCGCTTGAAACATTCAGCTATTGGCATAGCTGGTTCAAGCAGACGGTATCCGAGCCGCAAGCGGACAGTTCGCGGTCGGGCTCGCCGTCAGGGTTTCTTAGCTGAAGCTGTGTAAGTTCAAGTCTGAAACATGCCAGCTCAATGAGGAGGGAACTGCGCTTTTCGACCAAAGCTGACGAGGGCCTCGTGGAGAGTCGAACGGTCCGCAGGGGTCCAACAAGATCGGCTAAGTAACCATTTGAGCGCTTACGCAGGAAAGCATGACGGCGTCTCATGCCGAAAATCTCCGGCCATACCGGCAGCTACATGCTCACAGCCGTAACCCATCAAACTGCAAGATGTCGTGATAGCTGTACTGCTGGTAACACGCGTAGGTTGGTATGCCCACCATCGCCTTCATTGCGAAGGAAAACTTCCTTGGAGAAACTGGAAAACATGCGTCGCCACCTGCGAGACGAATGAAAGAACAAATGCCTACTACAAGCCAATGGCGCCGAGCCTGTTCTTGTCCTTGATTCTTGTCTGGGTGCCACTGCCTCAACCTCAAGGCGCATGTGCAGGAAAACTCGACTACAGCATTAGTCCATCTCACACTGATCCGAATTGATCATGGGCCACACTCTTGAGCTTCCTGCAGGTTCTTCCATGCCTTGCCTTGCTCAGAGGGCGGCAGCGCCTCCAAACCAGCACAGCATCTAGACTTCTTGCAGAAGTTGAGCGAATTCTTCCAGGGCGCCTTGACTGCCCTCATCTGATTGTGAGCATCGATGGTGGACATGACGGCCTGTCACAACTAGCGCGGTGGTAACTAAGGGGCACGAGGCATTCACAAGCGCAACAACTCGAATCAGCAGCAGTGTTCTCAAAAACAAGCCCTCCACTGCACTATCGCCATGGATACACGGCATGGTTGGTCTGCTACGAAACCGTTGCCGCACAATAAAAGCCAACTTTTGTTTGCAGCAAATAGACAGAACTGTCAAACACTGCATGTTCATGTGTCAGAGAAGTGCTACGCAAATACCACGAGCAGAAGGCTAATCGGGTCTTAAACCTACCGTGACTTTGAAAGCTGATCATTGCTTGCCATTCATGCCTGTCTTTCTTTAACCGGAAGCTTCGGGGACGGACGCTGTGCCGCAGATTCAGTGTGAGCACATCTGCTTCAACAACTAACAACTTCCAAAGACGTCGTCAACGGGGAACCACGCATCTGTGGCACTTGACTCAAATCACGGTTTTTTTCGAACGATGGGTGAAATGGTGTTTCGCTGATGAGTGTCTTCCTTGGTGGCTTGCCGGAGGCGGGAGGAGTGACGATGTGTATATGCAGCATCACAGGCTACGGCGTAGACGGCCGCCATGACTGCAGAAGCCGATGCTAACACCACCCAAACAAGCTGCTGCTTGAGCAACACAGCTATCACCACCTAAAGCAAACCATGATCCAAAGACCATCCCAGTCCATGCCAGCTACCAGATGAATCACCGACAGTCTTGAAAATACTGGTCAGCAGGCTGCCTGAGCTTGCGAACGCTGCTGCATCACGGTTGCTTCCTCAGGCCTGCGTATCGTGCATTGCACTGGTCCCCAAGAATCATGGCACATGAAGCGAAAAGACAGCTGATCATCAATTTGTCGCCTTTCGCCTGGCTAGGGCTAGGACGAACCTAGGATGCATCGTCAAAGTGTCACAGGGTTCCAAGGCAGGCCCGACTGGGGGCCAGACGTACTTGATTTCAACCTGCCGGAGTTTGTCCTGCAAGTCCTGCCGCTCTACCATGACTCTGCAGAGACGTGTGCTTCAGAAATGATACCCAGCAAATACACCGCTTGCCGCCTTGATCTGGGTCTTGAAGGGCGTCTCCATGTGAGCAAACCTTGCCTCAGCCTGGAGTGTTGTGTCACTGTCGGTAAGTTTTACTGCCCACTAGCTGCTGTTAGTTTCCGTGTTTGCCTATGCTGAAATCAATCTTGACTTGCAATGGAAACTGGAAGATTTGGAAGTGCGAGCCTCCATCAACTTTTCATGCCCATCCTGCTGGCCAGCTGGTCTGGCAGGAGCTTGCAGGGGCTATATATCTCAAACATGAGGCTCAGACTGGGCTGATCGACGGCGGAGGGCTTGACGTCAGCCTGGCCATTTATGAAGATCCATAATTCGTCTGAAGGGACCCTGCCACCCAACATTTCTCAGCACGCTTCGCGCCGGGAGCAAGTCTGGGATGCAGCATCCGCCACCTCCTTCTCACAAGGCCTCGGCCTCCGTGCACCCAAGCAAGCAGTGTCTCTGGCATACTCTATGGTCTGAGGCCCGGGCGCTGACAACTGCGCATACAGCTTCGAAATCAGCTCGCGATCGTCCCCGACCTGCGCTTCGGCCGCCTCCAGCTGCCTCTGGAGTTGATTTGACCTCAGGGCCAAAAAGGAAGTCTGGCGATGTTTCTGCCCTGGTCCTGAGGAACGACTCTTCCTGCCACACGCAATGCAGCAGAGGTGCTTGTCCTGCAGCTCTGAGAGCTGAGCTTCAAACCCCTTCAGCATCTGGTTCAGCTTGCCATTTTCCTCCCGCGTGCTTGTCGTGGACAACAGGCTCTTCCAATCTGAATGTTCCTAGCCGATCGAACGCCGCAAATTGTTCAGGCGGCAACTCCTTTTGCAAGATCTCGATAGCGGACTGCAGGTCTTCCTTCTCATCCTCGAGAGACATGGCCATCTGGCTGTCGTTCTGCTGCCGCACCGTCTTTCGCAACCTCGGAGTGCAACTAACCTAACAGCAGGGGCTGGCAGGGTTCTGAACTTAATGCAATGAAGTCTGGCCTTCAAGCCGAGGAACTCAGCTTTTAATTTTTGGATTTGGTTGTGGGCAGTTTGTAGCGCGTGCCTTAACTGCTCCTTTTCCACATCGAAGCACCTCAGCTAGCCAGCCCCAACAGTTCGTCTCAAAAAGCATGAGCACTGCAAGGAGCGTAGCTGTAGCTTCTTGGCTCCCAGCCACAACAAGTCATGCTGCCACGCCCAGAGCACTCCAGGCATTTGCGTTGTGCAGCCAGGCAACAACCTAAGTCTTCGTCTCAAGGCCAAACAACCGCCGCAGCAAGCGGGCAAGTCACAAACTGTGCTCTGCTCTCGGATGGATGTGCGAGCAAGCTTCATAGGGCCCACGTACTGATGTCCCCAATCGTCGTAGGCGCACCAGCAGTCAGCATGCGCCATGGCAAGGGTTTAGCTATGCTTGCTGAACCACCTCGGGCCTGCGCATGCGACAGATCTACCCCATCTAGCCCCAGTGCACCCTGCAGTGCGGAAGTACCAAGATAAAATGGGCTTGCCTTCCCACGGCCCAAGCAACATGTGGCATTGCAGCGGCCAAAGTTAACCTCCAAAAACTTGCCCTTCAGGGTTTCCCTTCTCAGTCTCCTAAACGAAATGTGAAAGGCTGTCCCGGGTTGACAGCTTCCATAGACATGCCCTCTTAATCGAGCATGGGTATGCTGATGCCGGCAGATGCTTCAAACGGCCTACAAGCGTTTGAGCCAGAGTCGGAATCGGCACCACAAGCTCTCAGCCCTCATCACAACATTCGAGCTATCAGTAGCAACAATACTGCTTGTCGTGCTCATCTTGGTGAATGGTTTGCCCAAGAACATCTCCACGGAAGGATGAACTACAGTTCCACCCATGTCATGGCCCCTATCACACTCCAACAGGAGCTTATAAGGCCCCCTCATCTGCAAGGGACTAATACATAGCCCTTGTTGCCTCAACCCCCAGTTCCTATCGGTATTAGTTCTATAACTCTATGTAATGCTCCAACTCCTCCCCTTCGTCGCTCCTGCAGGCATGTATGTGCATAGTGGCGAAACCGGAACGATTGAAAAGGGTTACGGTATCTGTCAACCAATACTTGCAGAAGGCGTTCAGTTCTGCGCAACTCCTACAGGCTTCAGGTTTTCATCTTGAGCATGCCAAAAAGGGTTCAGTGAGCTACCCCAGGCCGCTCACGGATCTAAGCTACTGCCCCTGTTCGGTCAGGGTCTTCGTAAGGTGGTTATGGTTCCCTATGCACTTGAATAAGCCTAAGCCCTAAACCAAGGGGCAGTATCATTCCCCATCATTAACAGGGGGGGGTCCCGAACTGAAGAATCCACTTTGCCACGTCCCCCCCAGCCTACATAGAGTATGCTTTGTGCGAGCCTATATTTTTTATGTTAGGGCGAAGGCTCGGGCTATGGGATTAAAACCTGTCAGAACTGCTGCTGGGGACACTGGCTTTCGGCTTGCCTCAAGGTTGCTTCGGACATCCACATGTGACTCGCACGGCTCGCTCCGGACGTCAATTTCTTTTCGCCCTGGCTCTGCAGACAGCTCTTGTGCACGAAGTGCTTCCCTTCCGCCCTGTTGTCTGCCGTGGCAAGAACCCCAAGCACCGGGCTAGAACACTCGTGCTTCGACTACCTTAGCTAAGCCGTAGACCTATATAACCTATGGCCACTGCGAGAGGAGGGTCCTAGGGATCCTAAGGCCTAAAAGCCTAAAATCTGTACATGTAGAGCTCGACGATGCGCACTGTACAGCAAAGCGCACCAAGCAGCGAGCTCAAGCCACGAGCACGGGCTGTGCCAAGGCGTCCACGTCTGCGGCGAACTTCACGACGGCTTTCAGCCCCTCTCCACATGAGATCTGCATGTAATGCAGCAGCCTTTGCAGTTTAAGCAAGAATTGCAGTTGGTCATACTTGCAGTGAAGCCGCGGAATATTGTGAATCATAGATATGCGGGGTCATGAAGAGACTCGGGGAATACACTTACAAGTATTTAGGCCCCTATAGGAGCCATTAACGCCGCTTGTGGGCCTTGGCCAACGAGTGCCGCCTTCACCGGCTGCATTGCCGCGTGCGGAAATAACATAGAGGGCTTCACAGTTCAGGGCACAGGGTTGTTGCACTAAGTCTTGCAAGGCACGGCAAAAGATCTGCCTGACAATTAGGAAAGTCAGTAGTTACCGACGCACAAGTCAGCGTATGCTTGATAATTACAGAAACTGCATCGGCACCCTCGGGTAGTACGAGTGCATTCCCTTGTGAGGGTGTGCTGCATTGTACAGGGCTCGATCCGACAAGTGCGGTATCACTAGCATGACGCAACCTGCGCCCTGGGTTTTTATGCTAACACGATTTAATGGAAAAAGGATTCCTTCCACCGAACCCTTCCGCGGAGCAACAAGGCTGCTTCCGCGAGACACTTCTGGAATGAAGCTTCCACGATCTTCTTTCACGAGCCAATTTTAATATGCTTTCGGCGATCTCCTTCCGCGAGTAGGGTTTAGTCTTTGGGCCACAACGTGGTGGCTGTTCAAAATGTCTCATACATGATTTGATGGCACATAGCGGAGGATAGCGAAGGCAAAGGTATGATTGAAAACGATCTATTGCCAATGCTATGAGCGCTGCTATGTTGTGTTTTTATTGCTGACATTGTTGCCACTGTTGCGGCTGTTTTGGGATGTTGTATGTTAACACTGCTATGATTGGCCCCACCATTGCTGACATTTTGCTTTGTTCCTGCAGTTGATGATGCGCTTGTTGCCGCCATGTTGTGTTCATTGATGTTGCCCTTATTGTTGTCATCATTACGGCCGTTTTATTACGGCTGGTATTGTTGCAATTTTGTTGCTGTGTTGTTCCTTCTTGCTAGCACGGTTGCTCTTGTTGCTGCTGCTATGCGTAACTGATGCTATTGTTGATACTGTCATCGTTGCTGTTTTCTGATATCATTGCAATCATTGTTGCTACTATTGCGGCTGTTGTGTGTTATTTCTGCTCTTGCTGTTGCCGCGTTTGCTGCTATATTGTGCTATGCTTGCTGTTTCTACATGCGGCAATAATTGCAAACCTGAGTGCATGCCACCGTGCCGTGTTGTGTAACGCTTTGACAAACCCGAACCGCTGCTCAGCAACAGCAATGATAATAGGATAGTGACAGCACGAACTTGCAAACATTTAAAATGCACTACACCGCAAAAAGGGAAAGGCTACCAGTCCAGTTTTGCTGGGAAAGCTTCCGCCGAGCTTCCGCTTAAGTCCCGTATCGGATCCACATTTTTGGAAAAGTCCTGGGCCCTGAAGACATACTAGTGCGATCATAGTTCTCGTTGTTGCTGACTGAATTTACTGTTAGTGTTCGTAGTAATGGTAGTGATAACATTTATTGTCTCCAACATGGCACGCCTCTGGCAGCTCCGCGAAGAATTATAGTCGTAGAAGTAGTAGTAGTAGTAGTAGTAGTAGTAGTAGTAGTAGTCGTAGTCGTAGTCGTAGTCGTAGTAGTAGTAGTAGTAGTAGTAGTAGTAGTAGTAGTAGTAGTAGTGGTGATAAACCTTACAACCTAAACCAACCCAAAAACCTAAATTCAGAACCATGTTTGACTAGAAAGCTCGTTTACCAGCAGCCGGCGGCGGACCCATGGCGCCCAGTGTGTGAAATTCACTGCGGAAACCTGAATACTTCTGGAAAAACAGCAAATGCGGAGGGTCGCATGAATATAGCCGTGTATTACATAGACACGACAATGATCGTACTTAACGGCTGATGATTTGAAATATTGTGCCATCAAACTGTGTTGCGAAAGACACACCATGACATCCGTTCAGAATCATTCAGGTTTCGCTCTGAGGAGAGATTCAGCCGGAGCCATGCAGTATTAATGCTCAAGACTAGTACTACTAATAGCTCCTCATATATTTAGTATTATACTCTGGCTAGTATTAGTTCCACTAATCGCACCAATGCACAAGTCGCACGAGTAGTGCTGATGCACAACATGTCCACGGTGTCTCCGGCAGCCCCACAGCCTCTGGGTCCTTTCATTCCTCCGGGGCGTTCAGATAGCCTGGCAAGCCACAGAACTGCTCTACGGAACAGGTTGCTGTCCTGATTTCATTCTGCCCACTCTACACAACCTGGGTGGCCTGCCTAGCAAGCCCTCACCCGCCTACCATCAGCCCATGTCATACAGTCAGGCCCTGGGTTGCCTGCGCTTTTTCATGTCCGAGTCCAGATTGGGTTCCCAACCATCCAGTCTGCTAACTCCGGAAGAAGCGGCCGCCCTTTACCATGCACAGCCTTAAGGTTTGCCTGCTCAGCGCGGGAGCCCAGATCCAAGCCGCCGATACTGTAATCCTCTGACGACGGAGGATCTGCAGGGAAGCTTTTAGAGGTGGTTTAGTAGCTCAGGGAGGATCTGCACAAAGGGTGCACCGCTCAATAAAGAGGCACAGTGGCCAGCTGTGCCTGCTACGGGGTTGCGGCCATTTCATCATACATGGCGGGATCGCAATCCTTGCAGACGATGAGACCCCACGTAGCGGTCTGGAGATTCTCTTGAGAGCACCAAGGCCAAACCCTCCACCGCAAGCATTATGCCAATTGGAACATGCAAGACGCTTTGTACAACATGGTACACCTGCTTCATCTGCGACACCTTCACGCTAGACACCTCAACACTAGACGTTGCAAGTTTTGGGAACACCATGCTTTTCCAAATCGTCCAGCCTCCGAAACCTGGCGCCTGCTGCGTCCATGTGGAAACGGGTATCGTCTGGCCCCTCGAGGGTGCGCCCGGCCTGGCTGTCTGGACTGCGGGTGTACCAAAGCTAAGCCAAAAACAGTAGGGAAAGGAGCAACAAGGCTCTGTAGCTTCTCTTGTTTTGGCTCTTGAGAGTTGAAAAGAAGTCAGTATCTCCTTCAAGCATGCCAGGCTGCCATCGCTGCTGCCATCGCACCTGAAGAAAATTGCTGTTGCTTAGGTCTTTCGAATGCATTTTGAGGAAGCAGCCGCACGTTATTGGAGGTTCAGTTTTTGTGTACAACTCACTCCTTTCTCCTGCTGGGTTTGTCACCCGGCAGCCACCCTCATTTTAGAAACCTATGAACTCTGATTTGGATTTAAAGCTTCAGAACGTTCTTTAACAGTGCGAACAAAGCAGTGATTTAGCTCCAAAAATGGGTACGAACTCCGCTACCCTCTCTGACAAAATCTGTGCGTGCATACAGTATGTATGTATAGACGGCGAGCGAAGCTCGCACCACCCGTCCATTTCCGGGTTCCGTCTGACGAGACGATGCCCCCCGGCTGCTACTTTGCTCAAGCAAAGTTCTTTCAGCTTTTTCTGTTCTTTGCTACTCTCACCCAACCAATAGCCATTAGTCCCAGTTT